GGGCCCGGGCGTCGGGGGCGCCCGTCGTTAGCGCTAACGACCTGGCGGGGAGCGGGAGAGGCCCCCAAAAGAGCAGGGCTGGAAGCGGGTCCCAATGGAGCCCGGTAATGATTAAGGTCATGGCATTAACGGCCTCCGCGCGTTAGGGAAAGGGGCTGGCACCCGGCAGCATCCGAGCACGGAAATCCCATATTCCGGGGAGCGGGATGGTGTGGGGGGTGGTGTGGGAAAACGCCCTGGATCCGGCCCCGTGGGGCTGGAAAACGCCCCGGATTCATCCCCAAGGGGTTGGAAAACACCCTGGATCCAGTGCTGAGGGTTTGGAAAATTGCTCTCGATCCGGCCCCGAGGGGCTGGAAAAGGCCCCAGCTCCGGCCCCAGGGGCTGCCCGCGGCGCCCGTCCCCGTGGCCTCGGGGCAGCGCCGGGGCCCTCGTCCTGATTAGGTTGTTTTGGAGCCGGGAGGGATTTGGTGCCGATTAACCCTAATCCCCTCGGGGCGCCGGCAGCCGCGGGAGGGACCCCCGGGCGGCATCCGACATCCCAGACGCTGCATCCCGTATCCCGCTCCGGCATCATCCCCTATCCCACCTCCTGCATCCATATCCCACCTCCTGCATCCATATCCCACCTCCTGCATCCGCATCCCACCTCCTGATCCCCCATCCCACGGCCTACATCCATATCCCATCTCCTACATCCCATATCTCACCTCCTGCATCCCCATCCGACCCCCTGTATCCCATATCCCACCTCCTACATCCCCTTTTCCTACCTCCTACATCTGTATCCCACCCCCTGCATCCCACATCCCGGCCCTTCCATCCCCTATCCCGACCTCTGTCCTGGTTTGCTGTATTGAGCAGCACTTGGCCCTTGAAACTGGCCCGGGTGGCTCCAGGTGGGAACGGGGATCCCAGCCCCATTTGTTCCCAGAGTGGCTCCAGGTGGGAACAGGGATCCCAGCCCCTTTTGTTCCCGGATTGGCTCCAGGTGGGAATGGGGATCCCAGCCCCTTTGGTTCCCAGATTGGCTCCAGGTGGGAACAGGGACCCCAGCCCCTTTTGTTCCCAGATTGGCTTCAGGTGGGAAGAGGGATCCCAGCCCCTTTTATTCCTGGATTGGCTCCAGGTGGGAATGGGGACCCCAGCCCCTTTTGTTCCCAGATTGGCTCCAGGTGGGAACAGGGACCCCAGCCCCATTTGTTCCCGCATTGGCTCCAGGTGGGAATGGGGACCCCAGCCCCTTTTGTTCCCAGATTGGCTCCAGGTGGGAACAGGGACCCCAGCCCCATTTGTTCCCGCATTGGCTCCAGGTGGGAATGGGGACCCCAACCCTTTCGTTCCCAGATTTTGGGAATTTTAAACATAATCCCAACCCTGCCCTGGGGGAAGCGGCTGAGCCGGAGCCAGGGCCAAAGATGCAGCCCCCAAGCGCAGCCCCCAGCCCCATCCCGGCTCCCTGCTCCCCCCTATCCCACGGAACGGGATGCACGGAGGCGGCTCCGGGCATCCCCCCTTTGCCCACATTCCCAGCGGGAAGCGGGGACGGAGCGATCCCGGGCACCATCTGCCCCGGCGAAAATAACGTGGCCGGAGGCGCCGGCCCCTAATCCCGCTTAAGGTGCCTAAGGAGCAGGGCGGGCGCCCGGCTCTAAATTTAACGGCCCCGTGTCAGGGACAATCACGTCAGCGTTCCGGCCCGGGAAGGGATCCTGCGGGAGCCGAGCGCCTTTGCTGCAGGGAAAATCTTCATTTTTTTCCATGAAAATCCTCCCCGTGGCGCCACTTCCCAAGGGAAGCGCCTGTGGAAGCGGGAATGAGCAGGGAGCTTAAGGAGGCGGCCGTGCTGCTCCGCTTGCGCCGCGCCGCGGCCGGGAGCGGCATAAGGAGCCGGGAATCCCTGCGGAATGGGGATGCATCCGCAATAAAGCACAGGAGCCCCCCGGCACGGTCAACATTTACTGCTTTTATTCACTTATTCCGGGGCCGGCAGGAGAATCCCGGCCGCTACAAAGCTCCGAACTCACGGATCACAAGACGAACGGACGGAGGAAACCGAGGCCGGGTTGGAGCCCCCGGCGCCGGCGGCCCGAGGAAAAGGAAACGGAAAAACAGTCAAACCATGGAAAAGTGTCGAGCGAGCCCTGCGGACGCAGCTTCACAAACCCAAGACCAAAAGCTCCTTTTTTTTTTTGTTTTAAACGCCTAAACCTACCTAAGTGTTGTGTACAAAACCAGATAGTTCAAAAACGTTTCCCCCTTTTGCTTTATAGTATTTTTTTTTGCAATTCTGAAAAAAAAGAAAGTTTTAAAAAACAGAAAATAACCCCGAAAGTTGTAAATTCTCAAAGTTTTTTTGTGTTTTTGTGTGTGTGTGTGTTTTTTGCCTGCACGCCACAAAATAAAATAGAAAAAAAAAGGGAAAAAACAAGCGGATTCGGCTCTCCCGCTTGCTCGGCGCGACGAGGTCGGTGTCCCGGCGTCCCGGTCGCTCCGGATCGGGATTCCCGGCCTAGGCGCGCTCCCCGCGGATGCGGCGCGCCAGCTGGATGTCCTTGGGCATGATGGTGACGCGCTTGGCGTGGATGGCGCACAGGTTGGTGTCCTCGAAGAGCCCCACCAGGTAGGCTTCGCTGGCCTCCTGCGGGAGCCGGAGCGTTAATTAGTTAACGTTAATTAGTTCACGTTAATTAATCATCTCGCTCCGGCGGGACACACTCACCTGCAGGGCGCCGATGGCGGCGCTCTGGAACCGCAGATCCGTCTTAAAGTCCTGCGCGATTTCCCGGACCAGGCGCTGGAACGGCAGCTTGCGGATCAGGAGCTCCGTGGATTTCTGGTACCGCCGGATCTCCCGCAGCGCCACGGTGCCGGGCCTGCGGGGCAGCATGGGCGATAAGCCGGGAAAATCCCTGTTTTCTTACCCTTGTGCCAGTGGCCGGAGCTCTGCCTTGGGAGCGGGCAGGCG